CACGCACGCACGCACACACACACACACACACAATAATCCAGGCAGCATCTTCTCAGAAATAATTTGAAAACCCAAATAAACAAACATGTCCTTTAACTATGACACTGTGCATGCTAAAGTAGCCATATTTAAAAATGAAATCTGGGCAGCATCTGTATTGCATGCTTGATTTCATCCCTGATGTCTCCTAACAGATTTTAACAGGCAGGAGAATTTCATGCATAGTTATACACAGCTGTACGCTAGCATTAACCTTGTTATTAAACCAGTAGCATGACAGAAGAAAAAAGAGTGCATTTGAAGGATGCAAAGGTAAGATGTTCTTATCTCCTTTTGTGTGTTCAGACGCTCACCCCAGAGGACACAATCTACACTCTCAGAACGGCCACGCTTCATACCAAAGGACATTTGCAATATATATGTATATATACTGTATATGTGTATATATGTGTGGATACATTTTAGCAAACAAAAACAAGCAAAAACTGAAAGAAAAAACATGAAAGCAAATTCAAGGCCAAAAAATAAAAACAAAAAATGAAGAAGCAGGAAGGAAAAAAGCAACACTTTCTGAGCTGAGAAGGAAAAGATGGTAGAAGATGATTATATAAGTATTTTTTATTCTGACAAGTTTGTGACCTGCTGAACAGATCAAACATGAATGTATACTGAGCGAAGTATCCAATGGCACAGTGACAGTTGTGTCATCCACACTACTGCTTGGCACAGTTTCTGGTGAAGACAGCCTTAGACCTTCAAACTAAATGATGACATGTTGGCTGAAGGGAAACCGACACGTCCTTATGTGTCAGTGGTACTTGATTAGGAAGCCTCTTCTCTTCAGAAGAACAAAGGAATGAATGTACTCAAAGTCTGCAGTGTAGAACAGAAGCGCAGGAAAAAGTAACAACATTGTTCTTTGACGTTCCCGCCACACCCAAGCAGACGAGTGAAAATTATGCCTCGATCATGTTTTGGTGTCTTTTCTCTCTTTGCGTGTGATAAGTGCTGGTAATGGACAAACCAATACGTATCTGTACGTCCATTTAGGCTGAGAGTAGTTTGATGTTTAAAGGCACACAGAAAGAAAACTTTAATGCTTACGCAGCCTCTTTGACAAAATGACAGGACTACAGAGTGCAGCGATTTGTGTTAAACAAAAAGTCAGAAAAATAAATACTCAAGTAAACCACAGTTACTTGAGTATTCTAAGGAAGTGTTTGTGCTTCGGTACTTCCCAGCTCTGTGAGAAGCGCCACTCCAAAAGCAAGCCCAACTTAACGACAGCAGAAACGTACATGCTTCTTCCAGCCGGGTTCAAAAGTGGTTTTGGCCTCGATTCCTGTTAATGGAAACTTTACTGGGGCGATTTTTCCAGTGTAAAGTGGGTGCCACATTGTCCAGTTCAGCATTTGTTTTTAATCAAATGAAACATCATGCAGGCTACTTTAAACCACTGGTTAGGTTTAGGCACTGAAACCATCTGGTTCGATTCACCAAAAAGATGATAGTTTGTTTAAAATGGCAATCCTAACCTTTTATGTATTTAAAATATAAATACATACAACCAAATGAAACCAAATTCTTTACATTTGATATAAATGTTTTCTCAGTGAACACTGAGATCTGCTCTGTGAGGGCTGAAAGTGTACAAACCTCGTAGATTAGCAGTAAATTTAAAAGAGAACTTTTTATTTACTTAGCTGTGAGTTGGCATCTTTTTATTTAAAGAGAGGCTGTTTTAAATGTTGCTCTTTGCATGATAAAGACATGAATTAAGTGGTGGAGTGCTTGGATCTGTTGCCTTATACCGAGAAGGATATCAAACTGTGCATGTTCTCCTTGTGCCTGCATTCCTGGCTTGTTCCCACAGTCTAGAAAAACACATCTTAGGTTAGCTGGCGATTCTAAATCAGTCATGAATGTAAGGTAGATAAAATGAATGAGTGTAGTTCAATGTGGCTGCATGCTGGGCAAAGATAAGAAACCCAAAGAGCCTCCAATCCACCAATCCACAGGCAGATACGCCGTGTACAAAATCAAAAGTCGTTTGTTGTGCCTTGCTTTGTAGTGGACGCTTAGTTCCTGTTGCCTAGGTAACCTTCTCAATCGGTCACCATGGAGCGGAGCAACGTTTAGGAACAAACAGCAGCTTGACCACTGACTCTGGTCTCTGCCCACATGGAAAAGATATTTATAACTCTTATACAGTTTGTCTGTGTGAAATTTGTAAGAAAAGCACACAAGAGTGAAAACAGATATAAGATCCCTTGAAAAATGATATAATGAAACTTGTATGTTTTGGATACTTACTAAAACAATGTATGAAAGTAGTAAGAAAGTGGCCACTTTCATGAGTAAATCATAGAAGTTTTTACTATTTCTTTTCCATATGGGAAGTTACAAAGCTGTGAACCACTTCCTGTGTGGCACAGCAACACAACTAACAAAGGAAGTCAACCAACTAAGTACACACTCCAAGAGCGTGTGACCATGTGGACTGTCACAACGAAGCCCTGTAGCATTAAAGGCCTCTGTCGCCTCGGCTCATTTCTGGAAACACTGCTCTCCAGCCACTGCTGCTAACAGGCAGCACTGTTCTTTTTAAAAACTGTGGGGACAATACCAGGAGTCGTTTGGGACAAAGGACAGGCTCTTCTTGCAGAGAGGAAAATCTGCATTCCTAATTTATTTCTACTAAAATTTGAGATACCGCTAGAATCAGAGCTTTGTTGTGTTTTGGGCAAGAACAGCTGGTCATAACTGACGGAGCAAATACAAATTCTGTTTCCATTTTTTCCTGAATATTACATTAAATGCAGTCCAGATGGAGTGTTACTGCTCACATCATGGACTTAAACTGCACCCTCTTTGCAGGCTGACCCAAAAGCCAACAATGCAGGCATGTTGTCAAGTCTCCAAACATGCTACACCTTATCCTGTTCTTACCCCCACCCTCACACCGCTTACCCCTACATGCTCAGGCCAAAAGACTTTGCTGAAAACCAAAGTACCTGTTCTCGTTCTCGTTCCTGTCAGGGACAGATGACCCATTTCAGCATTGGGGGAGAGAGAGGGACAAGATGTGAGGAACCACATAAGACGGCAGGAAGGAAGGAAGGAAGGAAGACAAGTTCCACATTGTGCATGCATGGGTTAGTGTAAAAACACACAGCTGAATAGGCTGGACCCTGAGCTGTTCATTGACAGAAAACAGGTTCTGGAGGAGGATGAAACACATCATTAAGCACAGCATGCTGGGGTCAAATGCTCATTGCACCTCTCGAAGTTACCCTGAACACACAGTGTGAGTCAAAAAACAGCAGCTGTCATTCTAAGTACAAGCCCAGTTATGAACGTTATGTGCATGGGACCCATTTGTGTGATTTAATGGACCCATTTAGGACCCGGGGTCACAAATGAAATTCTGATGTTAAAGTTGTGGTGATGAAAGTTAAGATGCCCTCTCACACAGCTCAGTTAGAACACGTCCACTTCAGATTTAGGAAGCAGGTTAAACTTAAAAGGTCTTTAGTCTAAAGGGACTGTTGGCAAATTAAGGGACAGGTTCATTCGTCATGAAGAAGAATGAGGCCACAGAGCTCAGTGGAACCTGGAAGGAGCAAAAGATGCAACTTACCACATGTCCTTGACATTACACAGAAGCCTTTACACAGTACATGGTATCAAGTTTGAATATATTTGTGTGCGCACTTCAGAGAGAAACACGGACGTGTTCAAAACTAGATAAACGGTGTAGCTGGGTCAGGAGATCGTCTAACTCTGCTCCTTCAAAGAGTCGCGCACACCAGTCTGAATGTGCACACACTCCAACACACACTTTACTGCACTTGTGTTATTGCTGTTCCAGAAGTTTTACTCATAACTAGCTACACTTACAACCAAATTTCCCCTTGTGGGACAATTAAAGGATTATTCTATCCTATTCTATTCTAACCAACTACCAGCAAGAAAAATGTGCCAGACGTGGTCTGAACACTAACTTGTGTTTACAAGTTATTCACATGTATATTGTTAGAATAGTGAGCAGCTTTATGTACACATCACACTTCACTTCAAACACTCTGGTCTTAAGGATCAATCAGTCACAGAGTAGGAGGAGCCTCACCCTAACCCTGGCCTCAACAGAAAGGTGCTAACACGGAGCTAACCCCTGTGCATGCTGTTCCCCACAGAGCTCAGCTGTAGGTGTACTCAGACTGAACTCCCTTTAGAAACTGGCACCAACATTGGACTGATGCTTTTACAGTAATAATTAAAGAAGCTGGACACAGCTGCCATTTCAATTCAAATGTTGAAAGACGTTTCATTTGGCTTTCCTCTAAGCAGCAGTGCTTCGTGGTCTTATAGTGTTTCTGGTTCAGTTCTTTATTGCTTAAATTTTAAACTCAGGCTATGTAACGTTGGTACATATGCAGGTTCATTACTGAAGGGGCTGCAGACCACCGTGACTGATAACTGCTGACGAGCTTTACATGAGCGTATAACAGGAATAGTAATGCAGAACAAGCTATTTATACTTACTGGTAATCAAAGGATCCATCCTGGTCTTTTTGATCCACCGCGTCCAAGGGGAGATCTTTTTTATCTCGCACTGCCAAGGAAGACAACAAAGGTGTTATGCTGCAGCTGTTCGAGTCAACAGATTTTCAGGGCTTTATGTTGAAAATACAATCATTTAGTTAGTCCCCATCTGCTGGTTTAGTTGCTTTCAGTTGTCACATACTAAGTTTACACTGTGTACTGTTTATAGAGTGTATGAACAACGAGTGTGGGCTATGTCCTATATGAAGCAGCTCACTCCAAGGCTTCGTTCAGTTGCTGCCAATTAAACAAGAATTCACATGTTCAGGTCATTTAGTGACATTTCTTCAGGCCGAGTGGAACATGGAACACAGAGCATTTATGTGAAGGGACAGTCAAGCCTGTTTTAGTAGCAGTTGCATTATGTTGGGTTTGCAGAGAGAGGATCAGGGCCACTGGGGAAAAGGTTTCTTTCTCTTTCCCAGTGGCCCTGATCCTCTTCAGTAGCTTTGTGAGTTGGTCAGATTTGTTAAAAACGTTTAGTTTTAGTTCCACATGCCTCACTGAAGGCTTGTCAGTCTCTGTTATTGGTCACTGCTCTGTTATATTAGTTTGTCACTGAGTCAGCACCTACCCAGAGCCTTTGTGAAACAGCTCGTGTAGCCACCACCTGGACATTACAAAAACTGTAAAACATTAACAATACTCTGATTTAAGTCATTCATGACCATTACGTTATAATACACAAAACAGCAATCCAGCTAAATGCTGTAAAACCTCTAAACCCTGATTTTAAATTCTGAGTTTTCCATCATCATATTTGTCATGTCTGTTTCCATCTTGTTCATGCACACAGCAGCTGGCTGTCCTCCCGGTACTGACTGATCAGCTGGAGTCAAGCTGCCTGCTGCGACTCTGGCTGCTAACAACAACAAGCTGTGCAAAGAGAAACCTACAAATCCCTCACAGCAGATATTCACCCCTCTTCATTTCCTCCTGTTCCCAAAGGTTTGTTGTTGTTCCTTTAAAACAAACGAGTTCTGTAAAGCTCAGTATTGAACCTGTAGGCGGGGCAGCCGTCTTCCCAAAATTAGATGTAAGGAATCATCTTTATCATCATCTCTTGGTCAGAGTGAGAAACAAATGGAAAACTGACCGCTCTTCCTCCATACTGCGCTGAAAGATATCTAAGAAGACGACTTCAGTCACCTCGTGTTGTCTTGTCCCGAGACCCCGTCTGAAACCACCCACCCATTTTCACTTATCAAAAGAAATATTTAAATAAAAAAGACCAGTGTGCTTTCCTTTCTTTAAAAAAGTGCATGACAATATTGATTCATGTTTTGATGTTGTCAAAGGTAAACACATGAGTTCACAGCGCAGTGTGCCACTCGCCCTTTGGTAAGCAGCTGTTCTTCCTCTCGTCATAGCTGCTTCAATAAAACAATATTTATTTATACTTTAAGCCAATGAAGAGCACATATTTACAATCCACAGCAAAAGAAGATCAATCAGGTATTGTTTTCTTATTTTCTACACACACGTGTCTGTTTGTATTACTCAGAAATCCCTTTGTGTTAGGACGGCACCAGCACAGAAACACAGGCCCAGCCACAGTCCTGGGAAAACAGACTGTATGTCAAAGCAGACAGCTTCACACCACACTGGCATTCCTTGAATTCAGTGGACAGACGGAAAAAGTCAAGGTGGTAGTTTAGTGGCCCATCAGGAAACAAGAGCACCTTCAACACGCTGAATGTTTGCATGAGATGCATCGTCACCTGGTCACCAGAGGAGCTGCAAGAACAGACCTCTGCCTGGGTGCAGACACAGCAAAGTAAGACTGGCTTACATTCGCTCAAAGCAAAGATTCCTTTCAGGCTCACTGTTTGTTGTTTATTGAAGGTTTGATTCACTACAATACACAGACTTGCTTCTTGAACCCAGATGCTTCAGAAAATGCTCTGCTGATGAAACGTCAACAACATCCTTCCACCCAGACGTGTAATGGCATGAGGCGTGGGAGATGGAATCAGTAACTAGCTCTAACTATGTCCTTGTAGCCACATATGACAGCACTGGCTAAAATACCCACGACTCTCAAGACCATTAAGACCATTGATCTTCTAAAAGGAAACTACCTGGATGAACTGTGACATTACTGACATATTCTTCCTCTCGGCATTAAAGAATATTCAGTCTCTGTGTGGCGCCACAAATTCAATAATCACTTCTTCCCACTGTCTGCACGATTTCACTCAAGAGAATAGACTTGCATAAGAATGCTGTGGGAAGCTTACCTGGGTACTTTCCTCCACGACTCCGCTTGATGAAACAGACGATGAGGAGGATCAGGATGATAAGGGCGATGGCGCACATCAATCCGATGAACCAGCCCTGCGTGGCTATGTCTACCTGGTCTATGTAGGCTGGAGTCGTGTCAGAGAGACAAACAAGACGAGACAGTGGACAAGAAAGAAGAACGCAAAGAGAGTTAGTATTTATCTGAGGAGGGTTAGGGTTAACCCCCTAACCCATCCCAGAGCGCTCAGCAGACATCAACAGCTCAGAACCAATATGCCATCATTTCCCCAAAAACAATGAGGATGATGCAGTGAACATGATCCTGTCCATGTCAAGTGATTGCCTAAAAATTCACACACTGTGTGATTTAATCTGAAAAATGTACTTTTTTCCCAACAAGTCAGGGACTTTGTTTCACAGCTGCCACAGTCACTGTGTAAGCCTGCATGAGGAGTTTCTCTGCTGGTTGACAAACTGTACCAACCGCCTACCAAGATCAGTCATTTTTACCGGTGCTTGATTTATCCCAGCTTCATGTTCATGTCCCATATTTGGGACTTGAGCTGACAGTTTGTTTTAGTCATTAGTCTTAACTCACCAGAAGGATACCGCACTGGTCCAAAGTTTTGGAACACCCTGATTTTTCCAGTAATTTATTGCAGTTCAAGTCATCCAAGTCCAACGAATAGATCGAAATGGTACAAAGGGAAGTGGTTAAAAACAAAGGTTACCCCAAACTGAAAACTAATGTGCACATACGAAAAGGCCTTTTTCAGGGACAACATGGGCTAACAGTTTAAATCTGTTCTGCAGCAATGGAGGCTGATCAAGCCTTGAAAGCTGCTGCTGGTACTTCCTACAGCTGTTCCAGCTTTTCTGGATTACTCCCCCCTCTGTCTGCACAAAGCAGTGCTGGGACACACTGATGTACTCTCGTGAGCATCAGCTGAACAGTACTCCAGAAAGTAGAGTGTTGCTACAAAAATTAACAATGGAAGAGACACAGACCATCATAACACTTATAAATGCAGGTCTGTCCTGCAGAGAAACAGTGAGTCCAGCTTCCTTCAGCCAAAGGCTCAGAAACTGTGACAGGAGGAGGTCTGCAGACCCAGAGACACGACTGAATCAGAGGACAAGTTTCTGAGAGTTAACAGCTGTGTGACGGCGGCTCACAGGACAACAGCTTCAAGCAGTTTAATCGTGGTCGTAGTGAGAAAGTCTCAGTTTCAGCTGTGAAGAGAAACTTCGAGCTGCAGGTTTGACAGGACGAGTTGCAGCAAGAAAGCCAGACGTCAGAATGAGACAAAGAGGCTCGTCTGGGCCATGAAACACCGACACTGGACTACTGAAGGGGCTGTTTTGGTGGATCCAGGGTCGGTGACTTGTACACAGTGAGAGGCCCCCTGAACCAAAACAGCCCACCACAGCAGATATACATACAGATATATGTACTAGAGATGGACCGATCCGATATTACGTATCAGTCTGATACTGACCTAAATTACTGGATCGGATATCAGAGAAAAATAAAAAATGTAATCTGATCCATTAAATATCAAAAAAGCACCTCACAAAACTTGTGACAACGTGCAAGAAAGATGTTGAATCTATTTAATTATTCTTGAAAAATAATTGATTTCTGTGCATTTTTTCTCACACTGCATCAAATTAAAGTTGATTACGTCGATTAAGCATCATGAGGTGGAGCGTGAGGGGTGGTTCCCTATTTTTGGGGTCCCTATTTTTGTTTTTGCTGGGAGTTGGAACCCTATTAGTTAGGTTGCTTAATATTTCTGCTAAGTGCTCTTTAAAATACCAGAATAGGGAGGATGGAGCGGTTTAAGTTTATTAGATTGATCAGTTTTGCTGAACTATGAAATATTTTGGGTGCAGTGTGTTTTTTGCATACAGGTTTAACAGAGTAGCTTTAGTGTTGTTGTTTGTTTAAACTTGAGTATGAACAAAATGCAGCAAGATATTAAAAAAACAGTTTTATTGATTAAAAACACTATATCGGATTCATATCGGTATCGGCAGATATCCAAATTTATGATATCGGTATCGGACATAAAAAAGTGGTATCATGCCGTCTCTAATTTTTACACACACACAAGACAGAAGCAATAAATATATCTCTTTAAAGTCGAACTTTTTAGTTGGTTAAAAACACAGGGCCCGTGAACTACCAGAAGTAAGCACACGATCTAAACTAACTTGTACTTCTTGTCATGTAGATTCCATTTCTAAAGACAAGCCCTCTAAATCTGAGGCATTTCAAATGTAGAAGGTTTACTGCTGGGAAAAAACAAGACAGATATCAATTAAACAAACCGTGACAACCCGCCCTGCACTGACTTAGTCAGTGTAGATATTACTTGTGTCAAATACGTAGAGGAGCCCAGCTGGCTCCCATCCTTGTTCCACACGGCCAGGTGTGGTCTCACCTGCTTTGGTCTTAAAGGTGACAGATTTGCTGCTGACACTGTTGAATAGATGGGAGTAAACTCTCAGGTGATACACGACGCCTGGGATGAGATCCACCACATTAATGGGGGGCTGTTGACTCTTTACATCTTTCTTCGTCTTGTTACCTTGGAAACACAATTAAGAGGCCAATCACACTCCAGGGGTGTGGCCTTCGCTCCACTTTAAAACCGGGCATACAACAGTCTGCAGCATCACAATGCTTTACAGGGAGACTGCTGTTGTCTGATAGCAGGGTGGCGGTGCTGAACTGAGGCTGATAGCAATGCTGCGACCACAGTGGCCATAAAGATTCATTCATCTCTTTAAATTAGTAAAACATATGGATTAAACAGTATGTATGCCTGGCCACAACACTTTATGAAATTCTCAGTTCAGACAATATGTTCTGATTAATCTTACTGTTTTATGGCCCTCTGACTACTTTTTTCTTCAAGGTCAAGTTCCCTGCAGAATCCTGATCATTGCTAGTAGTGGAATAGTGAGGCACAAGGACCACTGTCTGTCAAGCAAAACCACTGGAATACAATCGGCTGAAAAGCATGTTTTAAAACATGTTCAGCACCGTCTTCTGTCAGTACACAACGTTGGTGCTGGTTACCATCAATAGATCTACTCTGCATTAGTTTATGTTCACAAACTAGCAACAAAACCAGTAACTCCGTGGGACATAAGCAGACCTTTGAAATTCTGCGGGGTTTGTCTGCATCATTCTTTCACAGGAAAGCATTATCAAGATTATCAGGTAAGTTTATACAACTGCGATATTACATTTGTTTCAATGTCTGATACCCTCCATCTCTCTTCAAATAAGACATATTTAATGTCAACAACACTTTTTACCTGGATAAAAGTCACTTTGCAGCAGCTACTTTACAATGGGAATGTTCTTTTTGGCTGTAAACTACTTGATATTCTTTCATAAAAGTTTAATTTCCAGAAATCATTCTTTTGAAAAATTCTGGAAATCACTTTCGGGCAGCGATCACTGGAAGCGAGTGTGGATCGGTATACTGACTACTTAAAGAAATGATGAACTGTATTGTCTCTATTAACTTCTTAAGGTGCCTCAACAAAAAAGAATAACATCTAAACTAGAAACTTTGTCCACAAGCTGCTGTATGTCCAGTTACATTATGTAGCAGTTCTCGCGTCGGCATATTTCCCCGAGACTTTGTGGAGGTTCCACACCCCTGGAGACTGGATTACTCCTTCACCTACATTTAGGCGAAGGAGACTTTAACACGGAGGCTTTTTCTCCTTCGACCATGCGCATGAAGGTCAGGATTTTGGATCGTCTTTTAATAAGAAACACAGTGAACTGTTTGATGTGCTTGGGAAAAAAAGAGAATATTTTATTATATAAAATAGCGCATATATTATATCATAATTTGTGAACACTTTATTTTCAAGCTAATTGTGCGGCTCGTTGCACCCGGCCTGTCGAGGAAAGGCTGCAGTATTGGGCTCCAGCTAGTTGGTCTCTCATCCAAACAGTCTTCATTTAAAAAGTACTTTGTAGCCCGAATAATGCAGGCAGATTTTCCCAAGTCAGTGCAGCCAGCCAAACAACAAAGAACCGCTGACTGCTTAAGTGATAAAGTGAAAGTGGACAGTATAGGCTTGATTTAAAACCCATTGTTGCAGCTAGGTGCAGAACAAAAGTGACCCCCTTAAACTGCTTTTATTGTCCCTGTTTTTCCCCAGGTTATTGGTTCTGTTACTAGTCAGCTAACAGCAAGTCTATTGACGGCAACCAAACAACCAACCCAGTGACATAAAGCTCCATACTGAGAGAAGATGCTACTAAACAGGATTTTAAAATGTAAGCACTTTGAGTTAAATCTATGTCAGGCGGCAAAACATTGCTCGTCTCAGTTAGACACCAGACCCCCTCCTATCTCTAAGGTCCAGGAAGAAAGCAGTGATGACAGCCTGCACGTTTTCAGCAGAAACACGTCTGTCATGCCCATGAGACACACTCTGAAGAGGCAGCATGAAGTGACATCATGCACCATGCTGTTAGCCACACAAAGTGAAAGTCATCCAACATGGGTGATTACCAAGCCATGCTACAGCAGTCCTCAAACCAGCCAAAGAAAGCACAGACACACAAAGAACATGCTGTTTGACAAAAGTCAGTGAAGTGCTATGAGAAAGGCTTTTTGTCATTTGTAAAATGATATCCATCTGCCACGTCTTTCTTTTGTGTATGTGGCTAAATAATTATCCTCATGACAGTCAGCCCTATTTGAAAACAGTGTATTTAAGCTGTATTTATGTTTCATGCTAGTTTATTGTTTTCAAGCAGCTGTAAAAAAAATCAAAGTAACCCAATCCTTTTCCTAAACAATATATTCTCCACATTCTTTTTTTTAAATAAGTATAACAATCAAACATAAAAAGGCAGTTTGTGGCAGTTTTTGTGGCTAGCTCCGCCGGATACGTCCCTTAACTCTGGGGACAGGTTGTCCAGGGTTATTAGCCTGTTCGGGCAGTGTGTTGGGACGTGTTCGTGACCTGTAGCGACATGTAGCGGGGCCTTCTCGGTAGCCCTAACCCACCAGCATCAATAATGCACTCCTGTCGTAATGTCGTAAAGTCTATGCGCAGCCCTGACCTACATGCATTCTGTATTGAGTAGAGATAGTATCAATACAATTTCTTCAATGCATTTAAAACCCTGTTAGGATTTGTTTTCTTGTTTTCTTTCTTTCTTTGTTGTTTTTGTAACAGTATAAAGTAGAGTACAACAGCAGAACAGGAGAGACCCGAGGCGGCCGCCAGGCGGAGCGTCAGGTGAACCGAACTTCAGGTAAGAAGTTATGACCTGCAGTCTATCTGGGTCAGATATAAACCAAGTTTAGGTGCAGTTTATTTTCGTTATGCTGACTTTTTACAGTCAGAGAAAATATTACACCTTTCATATTGAGGTGAAAAGGAACCGTTTGTCCCGGACTTCAGCTACAATGAAAAAGACACAAAGCTGGAGTTATTCTGTCTTTGCTGCACAGCTGCCTCTTCTCCTCTCATTCTCTCCCCTCTCTCTCCTGTTGCTACTTCAGTCATGAAACTGATCAGTGATCAGCTGATTGGCTTTTCTCTTGTGTTTGTTTATCACCCACTTTGCGCCAGAAAGAGGAAACCAGCAGAGGGTTGATATGAATGAGTTGAAGTTATGAACTGTTTCTGAGAGACAAATAACACCAGGATCCTTTTCTAAGTAGCTGACAGCTGGTAACTGTGCAGGGGCGGGTCTAGCAAAGGGGGGCAGGTAGGGCATTAACAGGGAGAAGGGGGCACAAAGAAATACTTTTCTTTCTTATTCTCATTTAAACTGTCTCACTTTTATGAAATAATTATCTGAATCTTACTACCAAAGTTTTTATCTGATGTCAAATGTATAGAAATCATACATATACCAACAAGACTGTACATCACTGTCACCACAGTGTTTGTTTTCATTCAAAGGCTTCATGGCTTTTCCTATAATACCTGGGGGGCCGGTCTCTAGTCAAAATGCCCGGGCCCATTTTTTGTCCCAGTCTAGCCCTGGTACTTCCTGTTTACTGTTGGGTTGTAGTTAGCGCTGGTTAGCTCCAGTAGCTAGCTAATTCTCAATTGGAAACAAACAAAAAAAACTTAATACACGAAAAAAAATGTGGACTCTTTTGAAAGAGTCTTAATAAAATCAATAAACACACATTATAAACAGCTTTACTACTTTACACGAGTTCATCTTACTCTACAATAGGTTGGAAGAGGTTAAGATTTATTTATATCACTTACTATGTTTTTTGAAACAATGTAATATCCCTGTTGTCTCAAAAATGAGAGAAGAAGCGTCTCCTTTGTCTCAGTCAACCTAAAAACAAACACACCCTGGCTGGACAGATCTCCCGTTAGGCCTGCTGTGGTTTATCTTATCAGGGTTACATACACTGTGTCCTCAAACATGACCTACCACGGATCAAGAGTCTGTATGAAAGAAAAGTCTAGATCTCACATCCTGACAGCCTGACAGTGCAGGGATGGGTGAAAGAAGTGGATAGCATCAGACCAATCACATCACTTCCTTTCCTCACACGCAGACATTAATAATTAAAATCTCAGCACAAGTACACAAACACATCTCCATCCTTTCTCTGCTCCAGACTTTATAGACTGGGCTGAGGCAAACAGCAGTAACTGAGATGTCTGATCAGAGCTGCCCAATTTTGCTCTGTGAAAAGGTGGGATGATTAAAAGCCAGAGTACACAGCACTTCATACCAAGCAGGTGAGTATGGCAGCCTTGGTGAGCAACAAAGAAACAGTGAAACAGCCGTTCAAAGAAAGCAGCCCATCCCAGCGCCGGGCCAACAAAAGCAACGCAAAGAAAGGCAACAGAACTCATAGATCCATGCACATGGTGCACTCAAACAGGCAGAACCAAAGAGTGAGAGGGAAAACAATTTTGCAGATGCTGCCTAAAAACGGCTCTCAGTTAACGTGTAACTGCGAAGTATATGGAACAAAATGTCATCTTTCATCTGAATATAATTACATTAAGATGTACCATTTCTGTTGTGACTAAAATCAATATTATGCTGATCTGGAAAACATTTTCAAGACTGCTACTGCACATCCAGATGTTTTCCTCTCATCCAGTCACATTAAAATCTAACTATAGATTGTGTTACTGCAGCTAAATGATATATTGTTAGGTCTTTTCAAGCTGATTGCGTGTGAATTGTTAGCAAAAGAATGCACTTATAAAAAGCAAAAAGGAAGCCAATTTGAACCATTTGACCTCAAGCTTGCACACACAGTATCAAACAGACGTTTATGTTGACTACATCTATTTATTTCATTCTAATGTTCGGTTTGAAGATGCTTATGAGAACTTCAAACCTGGATCCGGACTCCTCCTTGCCACCAGGCTGTAGTGTCCTGTATTCCCGTAATGTACAAATGGTGTGATAACATTTGGTTTTACCTGTTCAGCTCCACCTACACTCTGCACCTTGAAGCTCCGGTTTTACTTCACTATCCTTGTAGATCTACTCTGAAGTCAGAACATTTAGTTCACAGTTTATATCTCAGTAGCGCAGTTTGAGCTTGGTCTGATTTCTTACTGTCCAGAGTGAACTCTAGTACAAAATCGCTGCTGCTGGCCGGGAAGTTGTGCGTCCAGCTGACTTTAGCGTAGTTACTGTTAGGCTCCACCGTCAAATTCCAGATCTCTCGCCCAGAAGCCACTACACAAGGTAGGGTAGGTGGGGGATGGGGTAGGGGACAAAGGGTTCAAAGTTGGAAGCAAGAGGCAGAGAGGGCACAGTTACAACAACCACACACAGGGCTCTGTTTGGACCCGTGCAGACTGCTAGCCTTGCACAAGTCTTCCTACAACAAAACAGACTCCATGCTTTGCTCAAAATCAAACTAACAGCATTAAACTATATTCACCCCCACCCACCCACCCACCCAAATATATCTGCATAGTTTTTTTAAGTTCATGAATGAATGAATTGTAATGTTTACTTCTGAGTTAGCGATTACTTCAGTCCTAACACTGCCAGTGTCCAAGTACTAATCAAACTACTGAAACTCAAAGCCATCATGTTCTGTGAAATAAATGTTTAGGTTCTCGCTCCTTGACCAGGAGGATATTTGCTGGCTACAACCCAGTATTTTGTAGCAACTCCCCACTTTTTGTGCAGCAGGTACAGCACAGCGTATCGAAGGAAACCCTGATGTAGCTTACTGTTCAGGTAGGAGAAGACAGTTCAATTCAAATGGTAGACAGACAGTAAAACTAGAATGGGACAACAGCAAGTACCCAACACATTCTGGTCAATACGCTTGGTGGTGAACAGCATTGGAAGGATGGTAGTGGTTGCCTCAGTAGTAGAAGTGGTGGCAATAGTAGTGGTTGAAGTCGTAGTTGTCGGAGTGGGAGTAGCTGAGGTACTAATGGTTGTAGTAGCAATGGTAGTAGGAGAAGGATAACCAAAAGGAGTAGGAGTAGGAGTGAAACCAGAAGCCACAAAGGAGTCGGTAAGCTCGACTACAAAAGAGGAGGAGAGAGCAGAGGGTTAAAGACAAGGTAGCAGGAACGTCAAACACAACGATGAACAATGACGCACACATACATGCTTACTCGCACACGCATGCATACGCACACGCATGCATACGCATGAGAAGTCAAAGAATCCCTGAGCAGAAACACTCGAGGAATTCCCTGCAAGATCACAGTCCTCATTTGAGAGCATCTCATTCCAAGGATCCATGCACGTTATTCTTCTGTCATCAGGAGGACAGATGTTGTCTCGTATTGTGTTTCGTCCAAAGTGTTAGGCTACGTGGGACCCAGTGTTTATGCTCTTTGATTCAGGGTTTCTAATGATTTCCTGATTTCTAGTTCTTAGGTCTTGTTCCTCCCTGTGATCCTCGTGTCTCATCGACTCAGATAAATTAATAATAAATTAGATAAATAATGCTAATATCATTTGTATTTTTTCACTGTAATCATCTTGAACCTGTTGATATTTATTTGTAATATAAATCGCTATTCTAATGAATTGGTGTTTATTAGAATGTATATTTATTGTACTCCTCCTTGAATCGCTACCTTATCGTGGTGGAGGGGTTTGTGTGTCCCAGGGATCCCAGGGGCTATGTTGTCTGGGGGCTTTTGCCCCCTGGTAGGGTCTCCCATGGCAAATTGGTCCTGGGTGAGGGACCAGACAAAGAGCGATTCAGAAGACCCTTATGAAAAGAATAT